AAATCAAGTTTGGGAATTTTATACAATGAAATGTTTACATGAAAGGATGTGCAATAGCACTAATTATTAGGGAAATGCAAATCAAAACCACAATGAGATATATTTCAAATCCATTAAGATGGCTACTATAGAAAAAAAACCACACATAAACAAAATAACAAGTGTTGGCAAGGATGTGGATAAATTGAAACTCTTGTGCACTCTTAGTGGGAATGTAAAATGGTGCAGCCACTATGGGAAACAGTCTGGAAGTTCTTTAAAAGATTATGATCCAGCAATTCCAATTCTGGGTATACACCCAAAGCAATTTAAAACAGAATCTCAACTACATACTGGTACATTCACGTTCATAGCAGCATTATTCACAATTGTCAAAAGGTGGAAGTAACCCAAGTGTCCATCAATACATGAATGAATAAACAAAAAGTGATGTATACATACAATGGAATGTCTGCCTCAAAAAGGAAGGAAATTCTGACACATGCTGCAACATGAATGAACCTCGAATACTTTATGCTGAGTGAAAAAAGTCAATCACGAAGAGACAAATACTGTATGAGATACATGTATTACAAATATTGTTTGAGTGCATGACAAACACTTATATGAGGTATCTAGAGAAGTTAAATTCATAGAGGTAGGAAGTAGAGTGGTGGTTGTCAGGCATAGGGGAGGAGAGACTAAGGACATGTTTAACGGGTACAGAATTTCAGTTTTGCAAATAAATGTTCTGGAGGTTGGTTGAAAATGTGACTGTAAACACTACTGAACAGTGTACTTAAAAATGGTTAAGATGGAAAATTGTATGTGTATTTTACCACAATTAAAATTTTCAAAACTAATTTTTAAAAGGACCTAGGGGGACATAGAGTATTTTAAACACTTTGCAAAATGTAGTCACATTTAATATCCCAGTTGATCCTTAAAATGACCTAGTGAGGGAATAGTTTAGACACCATTCCCAGCTGAGAATGGAAGAGATCCCCTTGTAGGAGTGATAGGGGACTCTCATAGCTTTTAAGGGGTTGGAAGTGGCCTGGGTTTATCCTGGCATTCTCAGCAACAGGGTGTGATTTGATCCTTTCTGATGCTCATCCTCATGAGCCCGTGACCTGGTGGCCCGTGCCCTCTTTCTGCATTGGCATTTCCAATTTCAGCACAAGATGCCTTGCAGGATTCCAGTAGTATCCTCCACCACTCACTCTCCTAACTTTGGAGACTTGCTGAGAAACCCAAGGTTTTCATGGCTGACCACTCAAAATCTCAGAGTTGGAATATTAGCCTTTTCCTGCAAAACGGACAGAGTCTAAGTACTACAGCTTGACAAGTCCCGACAAATTCACATACCTGTGTAACCTACAGTCCTGTCAAAATACAGAAAATCACTAGCCCCCAGAAAGTTTTCTTTCCTAATCATACTCCCCACCCAAAGGCAATTACTGTTTTGATTTTTTTGCTCCATGAGAATTTTTAACTCTTCTTTTTCGGGAGGTAGCGGGGGGTGGGGAGTGGGTAGAGGAGATGCCTTTTTGCTAAGTATTCTTCCTGAGTTATTATGTTTTTGTTTATGCCAGGACCTGAGTCCTGTTAAATTTAAAAGAAGAGAAGAGAAAAAGAAAAGAAAAAAAGAAGAGAAGAGGGAAAAGAAAGAGCTTCCTTTATTTTTCCTTCCATTTTAGCTATACTTCCCTTTCCCTGGGGTAGCAGAGGCCAAGGTCTGGGTTGGTTTGAGAGTGGGTGACATATTAAAGAAAGAGACACCCCTTTCATGGAATAGATAATAAGAGGCTATGCCAGGCATTGAGGTGTGAGTAACATTTTAAGTCTCCCTGCCTCCATGAGTTTACCGTTTAGTGGGGAAAACTGACATACGTGCTCTATCCCGCAGTTGTGTCCGAGTCTTTGCTGCCCCATGGACTGTAGCCCATCAGGTTCCTCTGTCCATGGTTCCTCTGTCCATGGAACAATACTGGAGTGGGTTGCCATTTCCTACTCCAGGGGGTCTTCCCGGCCCAGGGATCAAACCCATGTCTCTTGTGTCTCCTGCATTGGCAGGCGGATTCTTTACCAGTGTACCACCCAGGAAGCCCTGGAAAATCAACCCGCTAGCAGTTAATTTATTTCCACCCTAAATCTAGACCTACTATGTTCTTTTTCTCAGTGATTGGAACTAACAACAACCCACTTCCAACTCCAGAACACTCCTTCTTCTTTCATCAACTCCAAAAACACTAAACGCTGAAACATTCACTCACCAAACCCCCAAGCCTCCAATGTTGCCTCTAAAGTATTTCTCAAATATATGCCCCCTCTCCATCCTAGTTGTAGTGAGCCTATCTCAGGACACCCTCACCCCTTCTCTGCACCATGACTTCCCAGCTGACCTTTCAGCCACTGCTGCATCTATGTTAAATGCCAGAATTATCCTGTCAATGCTCTCAGCTGAGTGTTCACAGTTCTTAACATCACAATCAAGGGCCCTGAGAAACTGGCCCTGCCCATTTCCAGCCTTAGCTCCTGCTGCCACAATCCTATTCTTTCCGTTCCAGCAATGTCCCCCTGCCATGGCTCCTCCAAAGGCTGCCCTGCTGTCTCCTGGCTGCCTCTAGCCATTGTTTAGAAGTCCTCCCCACCCTCCCCCACGCACAAATAGACTGGTGGCTTGTCTCCACGTTTCTCTGGCAACATATGCCTTTCTTTCATTATGTAACGGGCTTTGCTCTCCTACTAGTCTGAGAATTCCTTGAAGTCAAGGACCCAGACCGTTCATTTCTGTATCCTCAGTGCCTAGCACATAGTGAGACAACAACACATGCTAGTACTATTCTAAGCACTTCTCAGACATTGATTCATTTAATCCTGATGACACTCTATGAGCAAGGTGCTATTATGGTATTCGTTTCTTAGTTGAGGACAGTGAGAGACTAAGCAGCTTGCCCAAGACACAACAGTCAGGAAATAGCAGAATTAGGATTTGAACTCAGGTAATTCGGCTGCCTGGTTGGCAATAGGGCTAGAGAATCTGCCTGACAGTGCAGGAGACACAGGAAACATGGGTTCAATCCCTGAGTCAGGCAGATCCCCCGGAGTAGGAAACGGCATCCCACTCCAGATTTTACCTGGAAAATTCCACGGGCAGAGAAGCCTGGTGGGCTACAGTCCATGGGGCTGCAGAGTCAGACACGAATGAGTGACTGAGCATAGCCTGGCTGCAACTATGGCTCTTAATCATTATCCTCATCTTCTCTTCAATTTCCATGTGTTTGTTGAATGAATGAAAAATGACTGATCCCTTTTCAGTTCCCTATCTCAATATGTTCAGAACCAAAACAGTTCTCTTCCAACAGCTTCTTTTTCCCTACATCTGACCTCCCTCAGCTGCCCCTCCAGGGTCTCAGAGAAGCCTGGAGTCTGACTTTCACCTTTCTCCCCCTTAACCCCATTCAGCCTCTCATCAGGTCTAGGTGTTTTGTTTTTCCTTGAAAACATGTATCAGATTGTCTCCTTCTTCTCCATTTTAAGATTGCTGCTGTCCTATTCTGGTCCTCAGCCCTTCAGGCTGGACAAACACAGCAGCTTCCAGACTAGTTTCCCTGACTTCACTGCCTTACTTCCTTGGGGCCTTGGGGTTTCCATGCATTTTTATTTAACCCTCACAACAATCCACAAGCTAAATATTATACACAATTTACAGATGAGGGACTGATAACAGAACTCAGGTTCAAACAGGATTTGTCTGGTTCAAAAGACTCTTCCATCTCCAAAAAGACTGGTACTTTAAGCAAGTCACTTAACCTGCAAGAGTCTCAGATTTCTCATTTGTAAAATGGGGATAACAACAGTAATTACCTCCTGAGAGCAACTGAGATAACACTTAGCACAGTGCCTGACATACAGGAAGTGCTCAAAGATAATCAGCAATTAATGTTCACAAACCCCATAGCATATCTAGCATATGAACTTGATAACTGTTCTGACCAAAATGCTTTCTGGAAGTGCTTTTGAACCATTTAGCTCAGAAGAAGTTGCCATATTTGGCCCCTCCTTTGTCCCTCAAAAGTTCTTTCTCCTGGGAAGTATCACATGCTGTATGAAAAAATTATCTTACTGGTCACTTCGAGAAAGGCACACAGCAAAAGAAAACACACCCGTCTGGTGGAAAGCGCACAGATTCTCTGATTGCCCTGTCCAGGCTGTATGAGCGCAGGAAATCTTGATGCCTCTCTGAACTTTTCTCATCTACTAAATGGTAATAATAATACCTTCCCCCAAAGAATATTGAGATAATGTACATACAGACTTCAGCGCATTGTTGGATATAGTAAGACCTATATAAAGTTGTGCAATATAGTCAGATAATCTATACGAGCAGGCTTTATTGTAAGTGGAGGACGGATGAGATGGATTTCTAAATCAACATGTTATCAAAATCAAGTATCAAAAGTAGAGGAAAGGTGAAAGGATTGTGCAAAGGAGATACTAATGCATACCTAGGACATCTGAATGTCTTTCCTGCGAAGGAATAAGCAGCTCTGGCCCCTGAATCCTGAGGGGCAAGTGGAGAGAAGAGCCGCCCTCCTTCACCGCCCCCAGAGCCCCGCCTCCAGGGTCGTGTGACAAGGTGCCCAGGACTCGCCAACGAGGGGCGGGGCCGGCTGTGGTCACGTGTGCATGGGTGCGGAAGTGGTGCGGCGGATGGCGTTCGTGATTGGCCGAGGCCGAGGAACACGGGGGCGGAGCCAGGCGGCCGGACGCGCCGGGAGGAGTCGGGGGAGGGGACAGCCGCGGGGCCGGCTCCAGAGTCTGGATTTGGTCTGCATTGCCCATCGAGTGCTGGACCAGCGGCTGGCCCGTGCACCCCGCCCTGAGCGCGCAGAGGCTTCGGGACCCCCCGGGCCGCTACGCGAGGCTGGTAGGGTGGGCAGAGGGAGATTTGGAGGGCGCGGGCGCCCTGTGCGCGGAGCAGACGTGAGGCGGCCGGGGGCCGGGACGCCATGTCCATGGAGGACCCCTTCTTTGTGGTGAAAGGGTGAGTGTTGCCGAGGGCTCCACTGGAGGAGGCGGTGGTCGTGCTGCCTGCCCGCACCTCCCCACCTCTCCTCGCTGTAGGGGGGATGGGAGGCAAGTAGAGGCTGGCGTGGAGACAGGGGGGACGGCTTAGCCTGGAGGGCCGTGATCAAGTGTCCAGAGACATCCCTTTCCCGTCCCACCTGGACTTTGAAACCCATGCCCCCAATCAAGCCCCTGGGAAGGGGGTCCCCTTTGGCCTGTGCGCTGCTCTACAACTTATTTGGACGGGAGGAGGGGTTCAACAGTTCTGCAGGTGGGAAGGGAGGTTAGGCGTCCCAGGCCAAACAGGGGCTCTAGTGGAGCACGGGGCCCTGCTTCGAAGGGGGAAAAACAGCATCTGGGCAGGAAAAGGGAAATGGCCCTCCTGAGCTTTGTAGTTGGCGTGGACGGGGGTGAGCTCCTATTGTCCATTGAGTTCGGAGCGCTGGCCCCGCAGACTGGTGAGACCACAACATGCCCAGAGGCGTCTGAGCACGTTAGCAGGCTTAGAGGCGGGGGCGCCTAGCTCCGGAAGACGACTCAATTCAGTGGGGGAGTTTTTACTGAGTAATGGGAGGGGAGGAAAGCGGCCGTTCAAACTCAGTGATGATGTTGGAAGGAAAACAAAATGAAATCAGCCAAACCAAACTTTCCTTAGCTTTCTGTTAGCACCGGGTTTTTCCCACAGTGCTAAAGGAAATGAGCGCTTGCTTTTTAACTCCCTGATTTCATCCAGGCTGTTTGACAGGTTTCCCCCATTTCTTCCTCTGCCTTTCAGACTAGAACAGCCTTAAACTTATTTTTCGCTGTGAGCTGTCCTGACTCCATCTTTGATTGCTCAGTTGTTTGCAGATACCCAGAAACTTTAATGGCACTGTTACATAGGCTTTGTAGCCATTAAACAAATTCAGGGAAGATGGATCCTGTTGTTGTTACAGCTTGTCAGCTTTTGTTTTAAATGTCAAACAAACGTTAAAAATCTGAGAACTGCAAAGTTCCTGAGAGATCAGTGCTAATCACCCTGAAGTACCACTTTGCTTTCAACTGGTTCCTAGCTCCCTATTTCTGTTTCTTTAGGGGTAAGAGCTGACCGGTTGCTTGAGGGTGTGTGTGATTTTTTTTTTTTTTAAGATTCTTCTAAGAAAATTTAAGTGATACTCTAGGTGAAATACTTTATTATCCATGATACAGTAAGATACATTTATATATATTTTAGCATTTCCCTAAAAAGTTTTGCCTTCACCTGACTTTAGATGGGAAAATCTGAGTTTAGATGATTAATAATACATGGATCTCTACCTGGAAAATGTTATTCGAAGAATTGATTTTTTTTTTTAGGGGTTAATTTTTAAATGTGAAAGCTGTATGTTTTTCCTTTAAATGGTCTTAATTCTTAGGTTTCAAAGGTCATGTCTGGCAGTGAGGGCTGTAGATAGTCAGAATTTTTTGTTTCACTTTTAAATGGAATTTGTGAAAATGCTAAATTGCTCTGCCATCTTGACTTTTTTTCCTGATAGTACTTTGCCAGGGCTTGCTCACTGATTAGATATCACTGCTTTATTGGAACATTGGCCAGGAGTCTTGTTTGACTTTTACATTGTTTTAGCTCATGTCCTTAAGATATTAAAACCTTTTGCTATGGAAAAGTAAAATTAGCTACATGAGTGTCTCCAGATAATGTGGTGAAATATATGGGGAGCCATGTACCTATGTTTATTAAAAGTTTTCAAAATATATTCACTGCATGATGTGGAAAAATGAAAGAAGCCTAAATTGTAACCCTTAGTGTAGGAGCTGATAGTCTTATCTGAGAAACAAGTCACCCAATAATTAAGTATAAATGACTGGTGAAAATGATTAAGTGCTGAAGTGAATCCTACAGATGATTAAGTCCCCTAGTAGTTCGGAGAAAGGCATCCCATTAGGAAAGGTTACGATTGGAAAAGCTTTGGACACAGTAGCACGTCTTGAATTGGGTTTTGAAGATGGTTATCACTTAGATGATTCAGTCCTGTGTGTCTTTTCTGGACTCATCAAGAAGACTGTCTAATTGGTCTTCCTGCTTCCAGTCTCTTTCCTCTTGCGTCTGCCTTGGTTTTGTTGGACGAGTGTTCTCCAGAATACAGTATGAGCCACACATGCCATTTTACATTTCCTAGTAGACACAGTGAAAGTGAAAAACATGTAAAGTTAATTTTAATGTCATCGATAACCTGGTATAGTCAAAATATTTCAACATGTGATAGTTATAAAGATTATTAACGACGACTCTCACCCTTTTTGTACTGTCTTCCAATCTGGTGTGTGTTTTACACTTAGAGCACATCTCAATTTGGATGCTGAATTTTCATCAGAGACACTTGATCTGTTTTTAGAATTCATTAAACTTACAGTTGAAAAAGTAGATTCACATACCCAAATTGTTCCAAGTATATTTTTAAAATTTTTGGTAAGTGAATTGAGTATCAGTTTTTAAATTTAAATTAATTAAAATTTAAAACTTAGTCCCACGATCACACTAGCATAGTTCGGCAGTCACATGTGGCATCCATGTTGGGCAGGACAGGTGTAGCTCTTCTAGAACCCAAGCAGGAATTCCCTACTTAACATCATTTAGTGGCTGCCTGTTGCCTGGAGGAAAGTCTCAAGACTTCCTGGCCTTGTGATGCAGCCTTCCTCTACCCTTTGCTCATTGTACCTGCCGAGAGCTTCAGGATCTCCAGACTCAGTACAGTGACTGTGACTGTGGGAACGGGTGCTCTGACCCCACATGCATCCATTCTGCCGGAAGCACGCACTCAGCCTTCAGGATCCAGAGTCAGCGTTTCCACTGCCTCCCGAAAGTGCTTCCTTGACACCTGTAACACATTATCGCACCTCTTCCTCTGACTCTCTGTCATTATTACTATGAGCTCTGAGGGTTGGAACTGTTTGTTTTTCCTGTATTTCCAGCCCGCCACCTTGAATATATAGCATAAATGTTGAATATGTTCTCTTTGTTGGAAAATTTCTCTTTGGTGGTTGTGATTGTGGTTGGTAAGGAATGGTGGTTCGTGGATGAGAACACTACCAGCAAAGGCCCTCAGATGGGCATGGTGTGTTTAGAAATCAAGGAGGATGTCCCAGGTGGAGTAGGAAGTTTATTTGGAGAAGTAATAATATTAATAGCTGACATTTAAAGGATGCAACACCTATGCCAGGTGTTGCAAGCTCAGTAAGCACTTTATAAGAATTACCACTTTGTAAGAAGAGTTCTGTGGTGTGGGTATTAGCCCCATTTAACAGATGAGAAACTGAGCTATTACAGAGGGATTGAGTTACGTCCCCAGGGTCACAAAGCTAATAGGTGGTAGACCCAGGATTCAACATTCAGCTGCCTAGTTCTCCTCATACTGTTAACACTTCACAGAACAGGTAGAATAAAATCAAGAAGAGCTCATCTTGAGGGCCGTTGGAAGTTTTCAAAGCAGGGAGTTCAGTTCAGTCGCTCATTTGTGTCTGACCCTTTGAGACCCTATGTACTGCAGCACGCCAGACATCCCTGTCCATCCCGGAGCTTGCTCAAACTCATATCCATCAAGTCGGTAATGCCATCCAACCTTCTTATCATCTGTCATCCCCTTCTCCTGCCTTCAGTCTTTCTCAGCATCAGGGTCTTTTCCAATGAGTCAGTTCTTCGCATCAGGTGCCCAAAGTATTGGAGTTTCAGCTTCAGCATCAGTCCTTCCAATGAATATTCAGGACTGATATCCTTTAGGATGGACTGATTTGATCTTGCTGTCCAAGGGACTCTCAAGAGTCTTCTCCAACACCACAGTTCAAAAGCATCAATTCTTTGGCACTCAGCTTTTGTGAAACTATGAGCCATGTGTGTAGGGCTACCCAAGACAGGCGGGTCATGGTGACAAGTTCTGACAAAATGTTGTCCACTGGAGAAGGGAGTGGCAAACCACCTCAGTATTCTTGCCTTGAGAACCCCATAAACAGTGTGAAACGCAGGGAAATGACATGAAATTAGGGTCCTGAGAATATTGATTTGGTAATAGTGTTGGGTGCATCAGTGTGAAGAAGATTAAAAAGGAGATCAGTTAGAAAGCTGTTTTAATTTAAATATTCAGTGATTGGTGTCTGAGTGTTTGAGGTTCACTTTGTGAGATTCTGATAGTGTCGATGTCTTGTTCAGAGCGGAACACCAGAACATGGGAGAAAACCACCACAGTCGGGCACCTGGGCTCTTTGGGCAGGTGTAGCTATACCCGGCCCATACACTGACAGTGGTATTTTTGCTCCTGGAACTCTTAGCCCTAGTGAATAAACTCAGACCAGCCCTTCACTTGTAGTTTGACTAGTTGACCCTCTTCATGTGTGTTCTCACCGAGTGAGCTTGATTATTTCCATTGCATCAGGTGGTTCTGCGTACATCCTGCACCCTAGTCACTCTGACCCAACTCTCTCCCAGGAGTTCTTCTGTGTATTTTACTAATTGTTTGACATCCCCCATGCTATGGGATGGGTATCTTACCCCCAATTCTTTTTCATTTCCTTCCCCCTACCTAAAAATGCCTTCCTTCTCTTAGCCCTATTCACTCCTGACTCCACACTCTGCATCAGTCCTATGTCCACTTGGTCATCAGGTCCTATTAGCACATCCCCCGGGTATCTCTGGAATTCTCTCCCTCTCTGGTTTTGGTTCCTCCATCCTCATTCATGTCCTTGTCCTCTCCCACCTGGACTCTTGTAAGTGGCTTCTTCAGCAAGCTTCATTTGCACTGCAGCCAGATGTGACTTTGGAGACTCGATCAGCTCACAGCTCTATCCAGAATCCTTCATTCTAAAACACACCGAGTGTCTGTTCTCTGTTCGCTTGCCAGGGGCAAAAGGTCCAGCAGTGAACAAATGACATTCCTGTCCTTATGAAGCTTATATTCCAGGGACAGGTGGTAAACAAGTGAACACATATACGGCATATCAGGTGGTGGT